TTCTGGTAGGTAGAGTTTTGACCCCTTTTGTCGGGAATATTCTTACTGACTGTCAGATACATAACAACTGCATTTGTTTAACCAGCTTTTGTCGCATAGTACGTACTTGCACTCAAGAACGTTTAGACTGTATAGTTACTCGATGGTACTGTTGAGGTATTCTTGCAAACTTGATATAACTTGTTGTTGCTTTGATAGTACCACAGATTTTGTAACGAATCTACCACTGATCTACCACAAAGTGTGTCTTGATATTTCGATCCAATTTTTGACTGTGCGTCGCCCGCGAAAGTTCGGAAGCTATACAGTAGAACGCAGGAACTAGTCAGATTCGCATTAGTTGGCACTGCCTAGTTATTTCCTGCGTTCAGGCCAAGATTATTGGATTCTGGCCGTTACAGTGGCCACAGCCTAAGCCAAGCATATTTCTCTATCTATACGTCAGCCTGTTGAGCAAAGGATCAACAATCTTTCATCGAGAGGATCCACGCTGCACCTAGTAAATAAGTGCGTGGGCACCAGTCGGCTATTCTCTGGTAACATATTTTCGGACTGAGGCCATCACGCGTTGAACATCACTGCTTCAGTTTTCAAGGAACTCCTCTGTAACCATGCTGCCTGACGTGAACGTTTTTTGTCAGCTTAGCCCCACAATGAGGCCTGTTGACCACCAACAGGAAAAACAGATGGATCGGATCCCTCCTATGTGGTCATCGTAACACAAAATCAAGCGGCTACTTCGATCCCTCGGTTGACATACTTTCGTCCACAGTGGCTGGGTACAGAACACAAGCAACCGCATAAAACTGGACAGGGTTTTCAGTGGGTCCTCAACTGATATCATTCCGTGATGACTGCTGCTCCAATAACAATACTGTTTACCCACACTAAATTGATCACATGTAAATTATAGCCACTATAAAGTCTCGTTCCACACTTGATTGCAGAGTGAGCGGTGGTCGACTTCTGTTCACCCTCGAAGTTGACTCAAAGGTCCAGCACCTGCAGGTGGAGTCGCAGGTTTTATTCTTCACACAGTGTACCGACATCGCCCGTTGTAGATGGGAGACTGCCTGGTGATACGAACTAAGATAGCAACCGGCTAAATTTACGGTCGAATTTGGCGGCCATTACTTCATCAGGAAGTCTATTCTGCAGCTACCAACATACAATTATCCCAGTCGAAACTCAGTACATAATCCAGGACAGGTTTCAACTTGGTCAGAAGTATGTGACTAGGTCCCTTCTGTAAAGTACACTTCACTTCCTTCAGTTATCTTAAGCAAAATGTGTCTCGCGAACAGCAGCACACAACTGATTTGACCATATCTGCATCAAATCCACGGTAGTGCTCAATTGTTGCGCAATATATAACAAAACGCCACTTCAACAATGCCATCTTGGTGCCACATAGACAACAGCAAATCAGCTAGTACAAGATGATAATCTGTATGAAAAATGGACCGGTTGATGGTGAGTGCATAAGCCCAACGGAATGGAAATGTCCAACACAAGCGTAACCAAAATATCTGTCTGCAAGAGTCAGATCAAAAAACAGGAATGTGTCCGACGGGTAACCAAATCGAGATCGGAACATCAGTGGCGACCTTTACGACCCTGAGAACGGAAGCCAGCAGGGAAAGTATAACAAAACTTCGAGCATGGAGAAGTATGTTTGAATAAACCAAATTACAACAGTTTTACCAAAACTGGAAGACTGGCATGGGTTTCCTTGTTAGTTTATGCAACACAGCTAGTAAGAAAACAGAGCAATAAAGGCGCGCTTCAGTGAAAAAAGAGAATAGATTATGAAGGTCGAATACAACCTCGAAAGTCCCGTAGGAGGGATTCTCCTAGTAGATTCCCCTTGGCGTTCCAAATCTCAAGGACCTAAATAGCAAAGAAACTTCCACGAAAGGTTGGACTAAAGCACGCTTTGAGGCACTGTGTGCACTCGTGTGACTTGCAAATATTGGACGCGGCGACGATGGCTGCCGAACACTTGGTGCCCAAGAACCGGATATCATCATCTTGTATTTTCTTCTGCTGGGTTTTCAGTTCAAAAGCAGCTTCACTTCCCTCTAGTCCTCTTCTGTCGGGTGAACGTTGAACGTTCTCGTCCTTAACTTTACGCGCACTCGTCATAAAAATTCCACATTCTTCAGGAGTGCCCAGTAAAACAGCCACTAGACGCCGTACATTTTCGACAACTTCCTCTTCCTGCTTACCTAATGTTGACATCTTCCCTACAGACACTCCTACAGAAGACTGTGGTTACAGGTGTTATTCATGTATCGTAACAGTAGGCAGTGGCTGGCGGTAAAATCCAGGATGCGAATTTCTTCCTGTTTGGGACTCGTCAGCTGGACAAACCTACCTCCCAGTGAGTGTTGTTCCCACTGGGGCTCGGACTCGGGAGCCGCCGCTTCAAACGTGACAGCGTTGTCCACTAAACCACCGGGCCACGATAGCCACTTCTTGTGCGAGAGGCACAGTTTTTTGTGTTATTGCGCATCCTGCGTTTCACTTCTAACCACCGCCCATCATTACCATACATAATTAAAACGGGCAATATCGGGGCACCCGCACAGGAGCCCGTATGCCAACAGAGACTGGTCAGAGACTGATCGGTCCAGTCAACGACGGTGTGATACAAGCAACAACACAAAAATGTATTGTTGTTACTTCAGCCAAAACCGCCTCGCAGCTACCAACGAAGACCCAACTTTCAAGACTCAAATCAAAACTGATCAAATAAAAAGCATCTGAGTGTCAGACAAAAAATGCACGTTCATATTGTAGAAGTCGTCGACAAACGGTTTCTACAGAGAAACGTCCACAAAAAATTAAACTAGAAGCCTTCAACACCTTGATCACAAAACGAAACGAACGACGTTAAACAAAAAGGGGTAACAATGAGGATAACAGTGGTAATGAATTTCAAGAAGAAAGCTAGAACATACACACACCACTGCCCAACAAAGAACTTCGGTGTTCCCTACACTCGTTAGCATCCAACGGTCTGGGGACTCCCGCCAAATCACGCAGAAAGGTGCAAACACACATGTCTCTAGGGGGTCCACAGAACCTAAGCTATGAACCCAAGGACTCCCTGAAGACTCCTTTCTTCCAACGCCCCCCAAAGACACATCGGGTGTCCATCTTTGTCCCGCGGGCCTCTTGTGATCGCGAACTCCACACTCCTCTATCTCAGGCCACTCGCCCCACAATCTCAAAGACCGGATGTTTCCATTTTTCTTACCGGGCACTGCCATGACCGAGTAGCCTACCTAGATGTTCGCCGTTGAGTTTTTTTCCTTTTTTCATATCGTTGTAGCAGGGTGACATGTTCCTTTGAACACAGACAGAATAAACTGTCTAAAATCTCGAGGTGAACAGGTCACAACCTGTTCCTTTTCAGAAAGAAAAGTAGCATTGTTGTGCTACACTAATATGGTACAGTTTCTTTCCTCAGACCCTGGGGAAGAAGTTTTTCATCTAAAAATTGGAAAAGATTCAGGAGTTGCTACCACCAAAAGCGAATATTTCGGTCTAAAACAAGGAAGCACTTCGGCGGAACGGGGTCAACGCGGTCTGAACAAGTTGCTGATCCACGTAAGGTCAACAATATCAAACCACGACTACACGTGATAAATCTGTGATAAATTTACAGTGCTATTTAACAGTACCAAGTTACGTCAAAATTACAAAAGTGACTTAACAGTGTCGCCGAGCAACTTTGAATGGCACGGACTACGTACTATACAGATTAACTAAATGCAACCGTAAAATACCTGGGAATCAACAAGAATATCCCCAACGAAACAGGATCAAAACCCTATCTACAAGAGTCGAATCAAGTGGCAAGCTTTTCGAGTAGATGGTCAAAAGACAAGTGGTCACTTTACAGAGGAACCTTGAAGTGCAAAAACAAGATATCGAGAATGGTAAAACAACGCCATGTTGTCAACATTCCAGACGCGCATAATGACGAAGTGAAGCATTAATGACAAGTCGCAGTCGAAGCAAAGAAATGATGAAGTTTAAGTCAAAGAAGAGGGGCAAATGAAAAATAAAGGTACACGGATCAGGTTTAAAAGGTAGTTTCTACAAAATGGGGGGAAAATATTCAAATAAATATCAATATTCCCAAATAGGGAGCTTGAGACGGAATTTCAACTCATTTATTCCGTTAGAGAAGTAACACTTAGTGACACACTTGGAGCTACTGCTTTCCGTCATTTTGCAGCAAACATGGAGCATGAATTCACTAGGTATCTTCATCCAGCTAAAGAGTAATGACTTTGGGACAATATACTTTGACGTATGGGCCTGGAGAAGGGCTTTCTAACTTCACTTTGAGAATGACATCACTACTTCTGGGTGGACTCCGGAGAAGCCACGAAAAGCGATGTAACTGTAGTGCAAATCTCACCTGGGTCTCTTAATTACTGATATGTTGAAGCTAGTACAGCGCAGGAGGACCATAACAAATGTCACAATGTATCTTAATCCCCTTTAGCCTAACAAACCCGTTTTAAGTCCTTTTCAGAAACAACTCCTAGATGTATCAACCCTTAAGGGCAGAATATAAAGGTAAATAAAGTGCATGCCGAACCCTTTTCATTTAGAGTCCGTAAACTATGAAGTTTTCTTCGACAAGAAATTGTTACGCCCCATCACTAATGCTACTTTCAAGAGGAGTCAGTACACTTATTCTGGGTTTTGCGGAACAACTGGAATGTCCTGAAGCAGTTGCGAACATTGGATGTTAATAATACCAGTAGGGATCTGAGTAGTGATAAGTGTTTATTTCCATCTTTTTAAATTTTTCGGAATCCGTTGTCGTTGTTTCCAACAAAAAAAACTTAAGATTGACATACACGAAGAGCCCAAGGAAACAATATTCACCAAGCCTGCAACATGAATTATAGAATTAAATTACGAGGATCCAACAATGTTTGTGAAAGTTTGAGAATGTCCTTGAAAAGCTTATTTGGGCGGGGTTATCACTAGCTGTTATTTTGCGGTATTTTAAATGAGCACCCACCAACATAAGAACGAAGTTCTGCAGAAACGACTTGACCAAAAGTTTTCACATCAGGCTGGAAAATGCAGAGAAGCAACAGAAAAAGTACTTGTCAGTTTCCGCAATTGATTTAGCAGCTTTTTCTTGTTCTCAAAGATATCATAAGGTCTACTGAGCGGTATACTAAAGGCTGTTTTAAAAACTTGAAGACCAGGTCTAGTAGTTCTTCTGAAGAACCCGTCTTAGTGGCTGATCTGATCTCTGATAGAGTGTTTAGCCTGCTTACAGGATTTCACTCACTTTCCGGGAATTTCACTTCGTCGCTCTTACAGGTGAGTTTGAACTTTCGGGGCAGTTGCCACTTATTATTTCAGTACTAAAAAATTAAGTCCGCAGCATGGTTCATATGCACACATCTGATAGTTATCGTTACGTAGAACATTGGGGCGAAATTGCCCAAATGCAAATTTCGTGCAAGACTGTCATCTGCCTTCATAAACAGATCAACACTTCTTCCCTTGCTGTGTTAGTTGGTCAGTCATCTTCTAAAGTAGGATAAGAAAGAAACTATAGGTTGAATTAATTAGCTACGAGTAAACAGAAGGAGGAACCTACGAGGCTTTTTAAACTCTCATGCAGAAACATCTGGAGTGTAAGATGAAAAAAACTACATTGTTCCAAAGGCTGCATAAGACCATTATTTACTGTACGTGTTGATAAAAATGAGGGTAGGAGCGATTGGAAAGGCAGTAGGTATGCGTTAACCATATTCGTGTCAACCTAATAAGGAGTACAGTGTGACGTTCAGTATTAGACTGCGAATTGATCACTTAGATGACTCTGGGACATTCTTGGCGGTTGGGACAATGGTCAGAGCACTGTCCAAAACATTTAAATCTAGCTTCGTAAAAACTGGTTCTGTTGGTCAGGAGACCATATAGTAGCTTGACTGAAAATGGATGATAACTACAACACATTTTTTGAAATTCTACTAAGAACGTTCTGGTTGTATTAGCGCCTACTATAAACTGTCTTCTCAGGCGGCTTTGGAAAGTTGTTTGACTGAGGGGTTTTCACTGTAGTAATATTCAGCAATTAGGTTAGGATGTGTGGACTTAGATGCAATGCTGACATCAAAATGGAAACCTACTATGTTAAACTAAGCTATACTAATTCGAAACTATGGAGTTTTTTGTTTTACAGCCTGCAGATTATCGGACGTTATTATCTTGAAAGCACATACTAAAGCAGTGGCTTTGAAAAGTTTCCAGGCTCTGTGACTGCTTCTTTGCACGTTCAAAAGCTTGAGGCATATATATTTGACTCCGTTTGGGAATACTAACGCTATTCCAGTTAGTATTCGGAACATGAAAATAACCTGAAAACGAATTCATGGGCTAGAATCGACAGACACTAAAACCACGCTTTTGTGTTCGCTGTAAGTGATGACCAGACCTTAGTTATCACTTCCTTGCCTTATTGCAATTTGACAACTGGAAGCTTGTCATGTACTGAGTTAGAGTTCCGGTAGTATTATATTTTAATAATTGCTTACCTTCAGGATTAACCATTTGATATTATGAAACTAGCGCTACACTGGGATCACATTAATAAGACCTCACTTTATCATCATGAAAACTTGGAACAGTGGAATTCTTCGCGGAAGCAGTTGACGTCTTCAGCTCAGTATATAGTTGCGAAGCGAAACAGAATATCATAAAAAGACTAAATATGTTAAAGATACAGTGATTACGATGTGCAGTTTCTTGCATCAGTCCGTTGTGTCAGCCCGATAGCTGCTACCTTTACACGTTGTTCGGCTTGCATATCACAATGATGCAGTCACCCATGTTGGCTAGAACAATTGTTGCTTTAGGTCTTGCCACTCCATAAATGTCTGTTGAATAGTGGTAGGAGTAAAAGAAGTTACTTCAGTAGAACAAATAGCATCTGACAATAAGAAAGCTGAAGTGAAGTCGAACTGCTGGTTATATGACATCAGATGTCACTAAGTTGTTTCTAGTCGATAGCCAACGTTCCATGTCAGTGCTGCTTACTCTTATCGGAAGGAGGGGCTGGAAAAATTCACAGTAAAAAACAGCGAGTGCCTCTTTATACTGCATTATTTTATTGCTGTAAAAATAGTGTTTTCTATTCTGAATGTCAGACAAGCAAGTATTAATTCTACACTGCAGACTAATTTTGATCAAGTGTCACTTGGATTTGGTAGTCACGCACCGACGTCGTCAAGACCATCCCTACTAATCCACCCTCATTTCTAGGCGACTCAAAAAGAAGCCACCCTTCAGGGTGTAGGAAACCCAGAAATGTCAACCTCTATCAACATCCAAGTTCCTTCTAATCGCTACCAACCTTTCACATCGTTGCTTTCTAATTTATCTTCAGACCTCTGTTTATCTTACACCTTCACTAATTTGTCGGTTCTGTAACTCTTGATAACCACTGTAGTTTGTGGTCTCCTGGACCTGCGTTCCATATTATGTTTCAAAGACTTCAATGTCGTCACTCCCCATCGAATCGACAAACATCGCTAGCCAAAACTGGCTTATACCAAACCACAGATACAAGTTGTGTTTTTCGAACATACATATAGAGCCCTTGAAGTTATCCGACTTAACTCATCCGAACAGTTCATCGAGGTATTACACTCATCCTTGCGAGTAGACCGCAGACCCATATTTTCCCGCTACAGTGTCACCAGCTAGTGTCGTTTTCGCGTAAGTTTCTTTAATACGTTTACATAACTGTCAACTGTTAATTATTGCCACTGTGTTTTCCATTTCTAGCCATTACCGTCCATTACTGTTCACGGCCATTGCGTAGACTTGTCAGTTTACATTTGAGTTGCTTCCGCTCTTCATTGTGCTTGCAGCCTGTTGGGTTCCGTTCACATGCACCCATTAGTTCAGATGAGGCTACTGAAATTAATGCGCCCTTCGACGCTGGAAATGGCACCAAGCTTCTGGATGAGTGATATTCAGTTCTGATGAATGTCTAGCCAGTCCCTTGCTGAAATCAGCCTTAGTATTGTCATGAAGCAACATTTGCAATGGTATTGTTGATACAGTTTCTCTACACCCATTCAGGCACAGACATGCACGCATCGAAACCAGTGCATGGTGGTTGTCCAAACATCTACTCCAGACTGAGTAGCAAACTTCGCTCCACCTCCAGCAATAACTGAAAGCAACATGGTCTGTCTGTGTTCACTGCTTCGTTAAAGTCGGTGGACGCTGCTTCCGAATTTGTGCTGACTAGGTGGTTGTCTGACCACACTTGTGACGGGCTGTCGCCGTTGCAAGGTGCCCTCAACCACTAATTTAGTTTCGGGGACGCCAGCTAGGCAGTATACATCACCTCACATGACTCAGACCAACACTCACAGACTCCATTCACTAGGGCCAGGTCTTGATCTGGCCGGCTACTCTGAACCCTCTTCCAACCTAATCCAACTTCCCCTAGCATCGCACATCGAGGTAGACAGTGGCTTGGCGTGCACAACACATGTCCAAGACATCTCAATCGACTAAGGTTCACAACCTCATCAATTGACTTGAGTGTCTTGTCTAGTCCCCTTCGCCTGACTTCAACATTTCTCACACGGTGATTCCACCAAACCCGAACAATGCTATGAAGACACGTACGACTAAATACCTGTAACTGCTTCATGTCTTCTACTTTCAACGACCACGCCTCATAGCCGTATAACAAGACAGAACGGACTGTAGCGCAGTATACTCGTCCTTTAATAGATAGTCGGATATCTTGCTGGTCGGTATCAAAAGTGACGCAAGTTGGCAGATGCTAAATGAATTTCCTGTATCCGAGCTGAGATTTCGTTAGCAATCAACTCGTTGGGGCTGATGAAACTTCCCATGTAAGTGAAGCGGTCGATACATTCCATCACTTCACTCCTTATTATTGAACTGGGAGTACTTGCAGCAGACCAGCCCAGGAGCATCTTCTTATGTTTAACAGGTGCGAAACGCATGGCAAACGTACTCAGATTTCTGCTCAAGGCTTTCACAAAACACTTAGTTTGTCAGCGTTTTCATCCAGCAGAGCAATATTGACTGCATATTCCAAATCAACCAGATGAGTTCCAAGGAATATGTCAATCCCTCTAAAGTTAGAGATACCTACGGTTATGTTCAGGAGTACGTCCATAACTAAGAGAGAAACAGTGACACTAGACATCCCTGGCGGATACCACTAGTTATCACTAGTTCTGATGACAAATCCTCACAAGCCATTGCACGGCCGCGTGAATTTGAGTGATCTGCTTTAATAAGCACTACATGTTGCCTCAGTACTCCCGGCACAGTCAAACACTACCATAACATCATAATCGACGGAGTAAAATGCTACTTTCAAAGTCGAGAAATACAGCAAGTGTCGGCCACTGGACAATAAGTATGCATGTGTTCCAGAATCTATCGGAGGGTAAAAATATAATCGACGCACCCTCAACCAGGTTTCAAACCTACCTGTTTTGTTCGGGTTTGCTGTTCTCGAGCTCCAGTTAGGCATCGCATAGGATCTGGAACACAGTATTAGTCTAGTTAATTCCTCTATGACTGTCACAGGAAGATTTCTCCACCTTCTTATAGACTGGAATGATCAGTGAGGTACACCAGCCTGACTGACTGACTGACTGACTGACAGGACTACTTCCGATTGTCATACACTCACTACCTAGTACCCCTGTTAATATAATTAGCGATTTCTTGGCCCCATCCTTGAGAACTTCAGGTGGCAAGCTGTCAAGTCCTGCTGTTTTGCATCGTTTCAGGTTCGATACATCTTTCTCAACTTTGAGGAGAGTTGGAGTACCGACATCTACTTCCCATTGAGGTTCAGGCTGGATGTTGGGCAAGTTTAGGGTTGGTGATAGCCAGTCGAGTGGTGCTTCAAAGTGTTCTGCCTAACCTCAGCAGCCTGCCGTGGTGGGTGATCACCATGTACGCGAAATGTTTAGTAACCATCGTTTATTTATCGGTTCTCTTCCTTTTCACTTGTCTGAGTAACTATGATTATTTGTTCTTTGTTTGCACTGTGAAGTTTGGTAACTTGATCTGATGTAATTCTGTGCGACTGTCTATGCTTCTAAATATCCTCTGGGACGTAATAAGTCTAACAATTACTGTTTATTGTTGCGTTTATGAATGTAAAATATAGTTTGCCTAGGAATATACTTTTGTCATAGCAGAGCTTTGTTTAAACAGTTGACGTTTTGATTAAACTTAGGTTACGTTGGAGCTTTTGCTGCATCGTGTTCGACACCGTCTTTTATTATTTATTTTTTTATTCACGCCAGATAATTTCACGTTTGATGATGATACATAGTTAATTGTCAAACATTACTTCCGAACTCTTCTAGTATTATAAATATACGTGTATATGCGGATAAATAATGAGGAATTTTGTTTTTAAGCTTACAGATTCCTCAGAAGATGGCTTACCGCTTGTCAAGGGAGATGATAGGAAGTGTCTTTCTCATTCGTTTGATAAAGAATACATAAAAAGTCACTTGGTTAACTCAACTCGACTCGTTTGCATGTTAAAAACGAGTTTTGAGTTGCAGGAAGTTGCTATTTCGTCCCAAATTTCTTATGTCAAGGGGATATGTACGTAAGTTATACTTGTAGATCTTTGGTTTTGTAGTAGTTACAATTTTTGTGAAATGATTATTTTTTGTCAATCTTATAATATTAATACGAAACCATAGAAACTAACTTTTCTCTGTCATTCCCGCCTTCCTACAAATAGGAGGTATCATATACAGTGTTTGCGAACTTTTCATGGTTGTAAAAGTTGTTTCGAACTTCATCTATCTCATCACTTACTTTCACACTAGACGATATCTGTGTAGGTTGCATTCTCAAAACTTGGGTATTTCGACAGTGGTATGGTGTGCGTCTTGAGGTAACATTATGAGTATATGGCACAGTAGTCAGGCCGTTTTGTCACTTTCCAGGCTATTACATATGTCACGTGGCTTCTGGAAAACGTAGAAATTAAAAACCTATGTAGAAACCCTTAGCAATAATCAGCATGAAACGCTGCTCAAAAGTGCATCACTCCAAGTTGGCACGCTCCCAAACAGCCCATGAAGAGAAAGTAAACAGAAATATTGTGGCAAAAATCAAGAAAAAGAATATAAGACTAGGGAGGATCGATGAACAGAAATAGATTATGGTATAGAAGATTTGCAGCTCAGGATGAGGATGATACTTTTTCGATGTTCTTCGAGCTTTGAGGGTTTTTATTAGACGCTTCACTACCAGGCTGGGGAACTTCTTCAACATCTACTTCACAAAGAAGTGGAGCGTTTTCAAGTTTCACCCATGTTTATTAAGGATATATACCGATCTTGAGGTGGGTGGGTGTGACCCTTTCTGTTTTTGTTGTTTGACTTATGATGCTGACCTATTGCCCGATTATTGATTTTCTGGAGTAATTTATAGTTGACCGACCCCTTCTTGATAGTCCGTATATTGGGTCAATATCTGCTTCTCAGCTGATCGCAGTTTGATTGGATTACCATATTTTCAGGAATTCTATCGCAGATTTTGAGATTGTTTGTTGTAGTATTTCCGTACTGTCCCACCCGTTGTTGTACCCATCTACATGCGTCGATGTCAGTGATAGTACATCATGTTGTTTGGCTGCTAGTTGATGCTCATAAATTCTTTCGGCTGTTGGACAACTGGATTGGTCAGTATGTTAGTGATAACATTTTTTGCAACTAACCTTGTAAATTATATTGGTCCTGGTTTCCTTGCGCAAAGGATGCCTATGAATGCATAAGACAGCAGATAGAATGACATAAAGTGTCACCACCACTGGACGCCGTTAAACTTTCACTAAAATACCAATTTTTGGATGTTATAGTAGTTAGAGTACTCACCATTCAATTAGTGAAGCTGAACTAAGGAAAAAAGTGTCCGGAGTTTGATTTATAAATGTAAGTCTTGCAGACAAATAGCACCAACAATTTCACCCTGGTAATCATCTGTTTTTGGACAGTACCAACAAACCAGATAACCTCTGGATAGTGAATTAATTCCCGGGAAGTCTGAGATAAGTAAGCTCATATCGCTCAGTAAATTTATAACAAGTTTAGTAAGAATAGGGAGATCAAACATCTCTGGTGAGCAACACTAGTTCTCCGTAAGCCCTTACTCGGTTGTATGATTTCAAGTAGTAAGTTCTTAGTAGCATAATATACGTACTCAACCTTCCTTTTACAGTGAAGACACTGCTACGAAACTTCTTGATCTTCAGGTGCATGTAAGCATGTTTGTCTTTCAAAACGTGTGGGAGGTTGAAGATTTAAGTTATTCACTTCCCCCAAGGTTTGAAACCTACTCTTGAGCTTCAGTTAGTCACTGAATGATCATAGAACTTGGAGTTTTAGACCCTATATCAGTCGAACTAATTCCCTCTCGAGGTGTCACTTGAAGAATTACCTTTTTTAAATGACTAACTATCCAAGACAGTATGAAGACACTATCACTAATTCCTATTACTATATTTTAATCAGCATTTCTCTTCCTTCACCCTTAAATACTGAGGACAAACCTTCTGGTCCTGTTGGTTTACCTCAGGTTTTAAAACAACTAACAATCAAAAACTTACATGCTATAATTTTACCTATCACGTAATTCCAACTGAATAGTTATTCACTATTCCTTAGGTAATACTTATTCAGAACTGATTCAAAAGTTGATAGACACGCTGAATCATTACCAATTAGTGTACGCTTACATTTTTGTCCGATCTGAACGATTTTTATATTGTCACAGTGATTGGCGTAGGGTGAATAATTCTTTTCCCCAAACTCAAAAAATCTTTTGCTTGCATAAATGTTAGTTGGGAATTATCTCAGTGACTCGAAGTATACTTAGGTTCATTGTTTTACTTAAATCTAACGTTCGCAAAAGGTTCCGAAGGTGGAATTTTCGTATCACAGCAGCCTTTGCTTTCATTAAATTGCAATGCATCCTCACTGTGGTGATACTAAATGATTTTTTAAAAATTTGTTCACTAAACTAGAGGAAACGAAAAAATGTCATCAAATTTTACAGAAGAATATTTAACCGAATTAGAAAAACAATGTACCGAATTATCTTCAGAATTAGCTGCTCTGGAACTATGTGAGGTTATGCAAACGAAGTTGACAGGCATGGGAACTAATGACGAAAATCATCTGAAGCATATAAACGAGGTAAACGCTTCCGTAAATGTTTGATAGTATTTTGCTGTTGTCACATACCATTAATACGTCAAGTTATTGAATGATTTCAAGGACTTTTGCTGATCTGATAAATGGAGTGTTTAGAGTCATTAATTTTTTTTTCATGTGTTAACTTTTTCAGCCACTTAGTTGCATCCTTACAGGCTAACACCCACCGTAAACGAGATGTTCAGTATAAACTTTAAGGGCCACCCTAGCAATGATCGAAACAACCAATTAGGTTTCTGTATTTCGGCTGGAAAGTCAGATTTTCATAAAATAGAGTGATCTGATTAGTTATTTCAGCTATTGCTAGAGTGGCCTTTAAAGTCACTCCAAAATACCTATGCATGACCAGCCTAAAGTAAATATCCTTTAGACTATCAATTAAACGTTTTTACTGACATTCATATATTAACACTTTTCCTAATATAAGTACTTTTGTCTACTTTTATATCATTTCTATTCTGGTCATTTTCTCTGTTTTTGCTGCTATGAAGTGTGGCAAATTGATCTGATGCGCTTTTGTGACAACTTCTGTGTTTTCTTTTCATCCATCTGTTCGAGTCAGTACAATCACAGATACTTCAAGAAGTAACTTTCCATAGTATGGATAGTCAGAAGGTATAAATTGGCTGCGCTCTTTCACAAAACCCTGGTCCATCTCTACTATCCATACACGTAATGTGTTAAACCTACTAATTATTTACTTAAAATTGATTAGAAATGAGTGCTGGGTGGATTATATGTCTTATCTATTTTTTAAAGAGTGATTTTAATGATTTATTTTGTTCACATATTGAGTTTGTTGTAATTTGTTTTTCAGCTAGTGGTTCGAATTCTTCAGCGGAAAAAAGAGTTATTCTATTCTCCCAATATAAATGAAATAAATGTTTCTTGTTGGGTATTTTGTTCGAAAATTAAATTGCACATATACTGCGTCAAAATAATCTAACAAAACGTGATTAGACTTCATTTTCTAACCTACAATATCTTCTTTATCCGCTCACAGCTTCAGAAGATTATTGTTCAAGAAAACTGTTGGCTACACTTTTTAACAGATGTAATTACCTTGGAGCATAATTCTTGTAAACAAGTCTCGCAAGTCTTCTTTACTATTTCTCAGACATTTCGAGAAATGTGTTTACAGGTAAAGTGAAATGGTGGTACTGTCGGTTTTCAACAATATTTTATTGTTTTACGGAGTGCTTGTATGATGCTTTGAAAATCCATGTATGTAATTACTGTGATTGGTATAGGTGAAAGTTAATTGATCTCAACGTCTCGCTTCATTTTGTATACCTCACTTTCAAAGACTTAGTAGGATCATCGAATTGAACTGATAGCTTAGTACAAAAACTTTTGGGTGATTTCCGAATCTATGAAGTTGTGTACATTTTAGTGAAATAATCACATTCCTTATCATGTCACAGTGAAATTGCTGTTTATTGTTGAAAAGTTCCTACATTTCACTTATTCCTTATGTATTACTTGGTTTATAAAGTTGTTGACATTCAGCAATTACAACTATATCTATTTATTTTCGTGCGACTGCATTTGCTGCATGAGAGCATAATATTACATAACCTGACAATGTAGGTGGAATGTGTACGACTTACTATGGTACTAGTTGGGATTTAAGTTCCTTGATAAGTAAGCAACTGTAATGGATTCCAAGTACCAAACTCAAAGTTGTCGTACAGTACTTGTAACATTTCTAAGTTGCGCAATTACAGTTGCAATCCTCACTTGACTTCTTTGTTCTTTATCCACGACTTCCGATTTCGCTAAGAAGTTCTTTGGGCACATCACAGTCAACCGTTACATACGAATTTGTTTTCATGTGCTACCTTTAACATACATCATCTGAAGTAAATAGTTGCTCGGTAAACATCATGCCCCTCAAAGCATATTTTACTTAGCGATTATTATCGTGTAACTGCCATCTTAATACAACATTTATCTTTGCGTGTTAACTCGATCCTTAGAGACTACTGACTAGTTTCATTCACTTATTGAATTTCACCAGTCAAAGGACCAGATTTTACTTGTAACATCCGTCGAACTTCGGCATTTACCTTCTTTATCTTGTTTAGCGACGAATGTGTGTTGTCCATTCATTAGAAAATCGCCCGACTAATAGCTGCTACCTTGACATTATGGTTGGGCTTCCATATCCCAGTGAACCAGCTAACTACACTGGCTGTGACACCTGTTCCTTTGAAGTCCTACCATACCAGAAAGGTGTGTTGGACACCGGTAAGTACAAAAGAAGTTACGATTGTGGTGTGAATTACTACACTGTGATAGTGATCCGAGCGTGAAATCGTAATGCTAACTGGCTGGGGAGTGAGGACAGTAAGATGTTTCCATTGGGTGGCCAGCAGTGCCATACTAATACTACATTTACTGTATGAAGGGGGAGGAGGTTAAAACAGATTGGCCCGAAAATTAGCTCACTCCTCGCGGCCACATGGTTTTCCGTTGCCGACGATTTGGGCTTTTTCTGTCCGGCGTTGAAACACAGAAATTCGAAAACAGGGATCCGCAGAAAACTGTGTGATAAGCCTCCAGCAGATGTCTCATGGGATCTGTGGTCACAAATCTTCCCTTTCAGGTATTTTTTAGAAGAAATAACCTTTCACGGTGTGGATAACCGTCAAGTGTCTACCTCCAGCACGCTTCCAGTAATACACAAGACCCAATCAAACATCCCATTTTTCACTCAACTCCGTCTCCTCCTTTGTCTTCACCTCCTGAAACTAATATTAGGTCTCCAACGCCACACTCAACCTCTCACTCTGCAACCCCTGTCAACAATCAAAGCCATCCAAATCTCATTCTTAGTCCCCCAAGATGGAGCCATCAATTTCATGTGGAAGCTTTCAACCTCCCAACTCTATGCCAAATCGAACACCATGCATCACCCACCAGGACTCTGCAATCTCCAGCCACGGTTATGTGCTGAGTCTCTCAGACAAGTATACAAGGTCCGAGTGTGGCTATTAGGCTGACCTCACCTGACCATAGTAATCAATTTTCAAAATTCACCTTGAGAGTATCCGGAGATACAACGGTTAACTCTCGTGTGCTCACTGGTGTAGGCATAGCATTGAGTTGTAGATCTGAAAGTCCACTTCCCGATTGGATACCAGTAAACAGACATCTATGTGCTGTTCGACTGCATGGATCTGTAATGACCATGAAGGATCGTGAGACTAACCGATGTCTATTCTCAATCTCCACCAACGCACCCACCGACTAGTTCGGATGATGCAAGCATTGAATTCTGTCAACTTTGCTAATGAACGCAAACTGTTCAGATCTAGTCTTAATGACAGGTGGTGACTTTAATGCTCGAGTAGGGAAGCTGAGCCAGTTGGAAAGGCATCTTCCTTGGTCTGACGCCAACGTACCGAAAACTGTTATCTCATGTTTCAATTTCGTTCTGACAATCACTTGTTTCTGGTCAGCACCAACTTTAGGCATACGGAGAGACTGTTCCACATGGTGCTCGCCAACTTCAAACCAACGACGGACACAGATAGGATCATCTTGCTATCAGCCATCATTGGAGAGGACCGGATGAAGATTGGTGTTGTCTCTGGAGTACCACTTTGGACTCCAATCACCCACTAGGACGGGTTCAAGTATGTCTGTGCCTTACCGATCGCAGGAAACAGGCTACAGTGAAGCCTGTCTGTGTTCGATTGAATGACGAAGATACCCACCACGTATTTAGAGAGGAATTAGGTAGGTATTTATTTGAACGTGACAACAATGCTCATGCTGAGGGAATCTGGCATGACATTGGGTCTGCTGTAGAAACAGACGTCAAGACAACTAGTAACCTACAAATGAGGGTTAGCAAACGTCATCGGATTTCCACGACGTCATTCGAACTGGTTGATATTAGAAGACAGATTCCAGCTGACTCTGACCGTGATGAAGAGCGAAATCAGTTTAAACTCAAGTTGACAAAGAGTTTTCGCGTCGCTCGTGAGCAGTGGTGAGTGATGAAAGCGAAAGAGAGAGATAGAGAGACATCAGCGTTGGGTAATATTTGCCAACCATTCACACTTATCAAGGATACTGGTGAGAAGAAGACGATTGTGAGTGAAACCATCACCGAAAAGGATGGGTTGCTGATAACCTCCGGAGACGGACGGCTAGAACGTTAGGTAGAACACTTTGAAGCACCACTCGACTGGCTATCACCAACCCTAAACTTGCCCAACATCCAGCCTGAATCTCAATGGGAAGTAGATGTCGGTACTCCAACTCTCCTCAAAGTTGAGAAAGATGTATCGAACCTGAAACGATGCAAAACAGCAGGACTTGACAGCTTGCCACCTGAAGTTCTCAAGGATGGGGCCAAGAAATCGCTAATTATATTAACAGGGGTACTAGGTAGTGAGTGTATGACAATCGGAAGTAGTCCTGTCAGTCAGTCAGTCAGTCAGTCAGGCTGGTGTACCTCACTGATCATTCCAGTCTATAAGAAGGTGGAGAAATCTTCCTGTGACAGTCATAGAGGAATTAACTAGACTAATACTGTGTTCGAGATCCTATGCGATGCCTAACTGGAGCTCGAGAACAGCAAACCCGAACAAAACAGGTAGGTTTGAAACCTGGTTGAGGGTGCGTCGATTATATTTTTACCCTCCGATAGATTCTGGAACACATGCATACTTATTGTCCAGTGGCCGACACTTGCTGTATTTCTCGACTTTGAAAGTAGCATTTTACTCCGTCGATTATGATGTTATGGTAGTGTTTGACTGTGCCGGGAGTACTGAGGCAACATGTAGTGCTTATTAAAGCAGATCACTCAAATTCACGCGGCCGTGCAATGGCTTGTGAGGATTTGTCATCAGAACTAGTGATAACTAGTGGTATCCGCCAGGGATGTCTAGTGTCACTGTTTCTCTCTTAGTTATGGACGTACTCCTGAACATAACCGTAGGTATCTCTAACTTTAGAGGGATTGACATATTCCTTGGAACTCATCTGGTTGATTTGGAATATGCAGTCAATATTGCTCTGCTGGATGAAAACGCTGACAAACTAAGTGTTTTGTGAAAGCCTTGAGCAGAAATCTGAGTACGTTTGCCATGCGTTTCGCACCTGTTAAACATAAGAAGATGCTCCTGGGCTGGTCTGCTGCAAGTACTCCCAGTTCAATAATAAGGAGTGAAGTGATGGAATGTATCGACCGCTTCACTTACATGGGAAGTTTCATCAGCCCCAACGAGTTGATTGCTAACGAAATCTCAGCTCGGATACAGGAAATTCATTTAGCATCTGCCAACTTGCGTCACTTTTGATACCGACCAGCAAGATATCCGACTATCTATTAAAGGACGAGTATACTGCGCTACAGTCCGTTCTGTCTTGTTATACGGCTATGAGGCGTGGTCGTTGAAAGTAGAAGACATGAAGCAGTTACAGGTATTTAGTCGTACGTGTCTTCATAGCATTGTTCGGGTTTGGTGGAATCACCGTGTGAGAAATGTTGAAGTCAGGCGAAGGGGACTAGACAAGACACTCAAGTCAATTGATGAGGTTGTGAACCTTAGTCGATTGAGATGTCTTGGACATGTGTTGTGCACGCCAAGCCACTGTCTACCTCGATGTGCGATGCTAGGGGAAGTTGGATTAGGTTGGAAGAGGGTTCAGAGTAGCCGGCCAGATCAAGACCTGGCCCTAGTGAATGGAGTCTGTGAGTGTTGGTCTGAGTCATGTGAGGTGATGTAGACTGCCTAGGTGGGTACCTTAGGATGAAAGGAGTCTGTGGTTGATATGTCTTGGTGAATTGGCTGGGAATTGGTCACAATGGCACAGGTGTATTCACTCTTTGACATCTGCTATACGTGGACTACTTGAACTCGCCGTTTTCTTGAGATTGCCTATCCTCTCGCTCAACTTTGTCTACTTTGATATCACTCCTTTTCTATCCGCTTGTTCATTTTATATTATTGTGAAGTGTGGCAGCCTTACCTGATGCAGTCGTATGCAAGGTCGTACGTTGGTTTTGCCTGTCTATTTGGCTGATTAAATATATTTACTAGTTTTCTGACTTAACACTATTTAGAATGTAATTATTCACTCGATTTTATTAGTTACTTCTTTTGTTTGTTTGGAAATGAATGATCAACTATTCTCTATTATCTCAACTATTTTCTTGCCAAAGTCCGTTTTCAATAGTTTCTATTCCTTCGTCTTCAATCGTTAATGATTTAGATTTTCGGGAAATCACGAAGTTCGTCTTCATCCACGTATAGCTCTGATGAGCTAGTTAAGTGTGATGTTTCAAAATATTTTGAAGATGCAATTATTCATCTGTTACTGTGTAAGTTAAACCAGTGGTTCTTATAATTTTCACGCCTCTTCGTGTAAAAATGATTTTCCGTTATGTTTTGAATGAAATTGTCGACATATTACTAGATTATTTTTGAAAACTTGAAACTGTTATTAATTTCCTGTTTGGTAATTTTTCCATTACAAGCAAGTTCATGAGAAAATCATTTAGAATGTGAAATTTTCAAAACGTTACAGTGTTACTAAGTTATTTGTGAGTAGCATATCAATAAATCGTAATATATTTAAGGCGTTATCGCTGCAATCAGTGGAACCGACTTTTGTTAAACAACCGGATTTCATGCCTTTTATATACTATTTTGTTGGCAATAGCTAATGGAGTATATCAATGTCTTCTACTGACTGATATGGAAAAGAAGCTTTTGACTAAGCTTTAGAGCTCACAAACGGTCATCACAGTAGTTCACCAAATAGGATAATTTTGTGGGAATCCACGGAGGGAGAGAGAGAGAGAGCTAGAGGACTCGTTACTTCTTGAATCTCATTTGAAATGACTTGTTTATTCTGAAGATGAATCATTCCGGTAAACATGAGTAGTATGTATTCCGAAGTGGTATCACTTTAACTGGTTTTGGAATAACGAACCATCCTCAGCATGACTTACTGGATACCATATGCAGTTATGATGGTCACCGGCCACAGCGAAGTGGCTGTTTCCCAGAATCTACACTCGATGACGAAATTTGATTAGATATCGATATATCACCTACACTGTAGTGGAGAAAAGTCTAAGAATGATATATTACTGCTGTTTCTGTATCTTTGTAACCGATAGTAAAGGAAGGAAGGCGTAGGAAAGATTATCCAGAAAATGGTTTATTATGCTTTGTTCAGCAAAACTGCGTTACCAGTAGTAAGTTTCTTGGGAGGAAATGCAACCTGCCAGAAGTAACACTTTATATGTGGTCCGTTTGAAAAAGATATCGTTTCAACTTTATGGTCACGTTGAGCTAATTTATTCACTTTTCAGTATGTGCTTGATATTGAAACAATGCCATTTGAACATAGGGAAACACAGAAAACAATTGCAGCGTACAAAAAAATTTCCAACGGAATCATTTTCTTAGCTGTATATTCGTGAATATGCAGTAGAAAGGATAAAATATTTCCAGGGTAATTTCTCGTCAAAGGTCAATTTAAATGGCGTCACGAAAAAACGTTACATAGAGGGGAAATAAACAAAATGATTACAAACTAAGAATAGTTACATCATATATGGGTTATCTAGAGTGATCGATACTCTACAATGGCCATGACAAAGAAAGAGGTTGTACATACTTCTTTTGAACGCATAATGATGGTTTGAACTGTTGAATGACTAGTGCTTAAGCTATGCCCGGATATATTAGCATCACTCCTTTCTAGTGGCTTGGTTGCACTCTGTACAGGACTTTGATGGACTTCTCAAAAGAAGCTAAAAATGTCCTGAGTTTACTCGATATTTTGCACTTGTTTGTCAGAGATAATTTTTACAATTTTGTCGGTCACTTCTTTTATCAAATGTTTGATAAAAAATATGAGTAACTATGAGACAAATTTGTCTTTGCTTAGTTTCTTTACTTCGAAATCATTACTATTTGATGAAATTTCACTGTACAGCTTGTTACACTTTAAATTGTCTATAAGGTAGCTTTTCAGTCTTTTTGTTTCTTCTCAGATTTTTCTCAAATATATGCATCACAACGGTGTTGTAATCTTTCGTTTGCCTTCAGCTGATAATGTACAGCCACAAACTGAAGCTTTGGCTTTATTTCTATATACTTCATTTGGCTATTTGTTTTAAATAGTCGATAGTTATCTATCTTACACAATCTGCGTTAGCGTTTGTTGCTCAAGCAATAAAAGTAAACTAAAGCCATATTCTTATGGAATCTGTTAGTATTTCATTTAGTTTATCAGGTGGTTCACAAAGCATTTTTCTTCTCAAATTTGTGATGCATCATTATTAGTTATATAGAAAGGTACCCAACTTATTAGTATTTGCTAGTTGTAGAAATTGGTTCACGCTTACTTAGTACATCTTGAGTAAAGAGCTTTTCATGTGTTACTAATTAGTTTTTCTCACTTAAATTCATAACTGACATATCATAGTTAGATTCAGTACACATTGTAGATTTATGTATCTCATTCTAGGTAAAAACAATGATAAAACAGCAGTGAATGTTTACCTTAATGTTCTGTAAATATGTTCATGAAATTTCACGAGTAGATTTTTAACAGTACATATAATCATGCCTGTAGATCAAATGACAGTAGTGAAGTACACATTTGAAGTCAGGTAATTCAATCACTTATGAAGCATGTGATAAAAATAAAAATCCAACTAATTAGTTTGTCAAAAATCTTGGCGATGAAACTATTTTTTAGCTCTTTTAATTTACGACCCGAATATCTTATAATTCTATCCTTTTGGAGCTAGTGGTGAAGAGAACTACTTTTTATATGTAAGCATTCATTACAAGCGCATGTATAATACGTTGTACTGAATAATATTTTGTACACTGTGTACATAACTCAGATGTGTAGTTGATTCATTCTCGTTTTGTTTTCTGCTTGGATCACTTACAGTCCTCTATTTGATAGGAATCGACAAGATACTTCCAAGAGACCCTTTGATAAGTAACACATACGGAAGATAGAAGTTTGGGAATCTGATGATAAATGATGTTGCTAGACACAACCAGACATGCCTGTCTTCGATTACTTTATATAGTTTTTAGTTGTGGCATTACTTTGGTTTTGAATATTGAAGGCCTTTATAAACATTGTCCAAATCTAGGAGTTTCAGAAGTGGTGTGGATTGGATAACATATTAAAACCGACTAAATAATCGTATTGCTTACGGTTCTGAACTGACTAGGTGGTTCAGATTGCAGACAAAAAGACAAATCGACGTAAAACCTGGCGCAAAAGTGCTTCTGTTCCAATCGCTGCAATTCATAGCAGAAAGAAAAGATAGATGGGGAATACTAGTTGACAAAAGCTTATCAGAGGAAAGAGTTTAATTCGATGTCAGTAACTGAAAATATTTGAAACTTCGAAAAGGAAAAAGTGTATCTGCACCATTATGACCTTTTTGAATCCATATCACTGAGAATCTTCAACCATTGATTCCTACGGTCTCAAGGCCCAAGCAGTCTGCACCTCAAAACATGGCTCAAACTAGCGGTCATAGACTTGCACCACTTTTTGGTCTGGCCATGCGTGGTTCTCTTCTAGCTTGATTTTACTCCAACCAACATGTAAAGAGTGAGGAATCATGCTGCTGTCCACTCCAAGCAAAATACTAAGCCGTATCATCCTAGAGGGACTAAAAGATGCTCTAGATTCAAAATTACAACAGGAGCAGGTTGGCTTCAGGAAGAACAAGTCATGTGTGGATCAAATTGCAACGCTACACTACGCATCATCATAGAACAGAGCATAGAATGACAGTCAACTCTCTGCCTCAACTTTATTGACTTTGAAAAGGCATTCGATAGCGTCGACCGATAAGTAATTTAACAGCCAGCTGCCTCAACACTACGGAGTGCCACCGGTTTCTATCAACCTCATTCAACAACTATATGAAGACGCTACATGCCAAGTGATCCACAATGAGAAGCTCAGTGACGCCTTTGAAGTGAAGACAGGAAGGAGTTAGACAAGGTTGCCTACCATGACCGATGATCTTCCTGATTGTGGTCGACTGGACTAGACCAGATCATGCAGCAGACAACTGTGAGGAGCGAGGTGGGCATACGCTGGCTGGATCGATGAAAAGAACCTAGAAGATTTTGATTTCGTCGATGACTATTTGTGTCTAATGTCGCACAAACTCGGAAATCTACAGGCGAAAATTAACAAGTTGACAGGAGAGGTGAGGCAGCGAAGATGGGACTGGCTTCAAGTGAACGTAGAGAAGACGGAGGTGACGAAGATACCCAACCAACAACAACAAGCACTAATCACCATGAACGGGAGAAACCCAAAGGAAGTAGTCTCTTTCACCTACCTACCTAACTAGCTATGCAACATCGTTTCAACTACAGGCTGCACAGGCACAGACAAGGACGTCAAAGCAGCCAGGATCGGAAAGACAGCAAGACAGGCTTTCATTAATGTGAAACCAGTGTGGAGATCTTCTGCACTCAGCATAAAGCGTGAACATGATCCGGATTTTCAACACTAATTCAGTCAAGTAAGTCAGTGTTTCTGTGTGGTGGTTCAGAGACTTTGCATGTCACGAAAAGCACTTCCAACAAACTACCAACATTTATCAACAGCTGCCTACGCTTGCTCGATACTGAATGTCAGATGGCCAGAATAATAAGAATAAGCAAGGAGGAACTCTGACTGGTGACGAACCAACGAAGAAGCTATCGCTCAACCAATATTCAGAAGAAGAAAGTGGAAGTGGATTGGGCATACTCTGAGGAGAATGCCGACTGGGGACATCATGCGCCAGGTCAGGTCGTAGAGTGGAACGCGAATGGGAAGCGACGAGTTGGTCGTCCGGGTGGGGGGGTGACATGGAGGAGATGATGTGAGGAAGAAATGAAAGCTTGTGGGCAGTGGTGGAGCCAAGTTGGAAAGACCGCAGAGAACGGAGTTCAATGGCGACGTGCTAGTGAAGTCCTATGTTGCACTAGGAACCCAAGGGAAAAATAATAACATGTACGGGGGTAGGCATTAGCTTGACATGCTCAACACATGTCTATGCCTTCTCAGTCGGTGAACATTCACAACTTCACTAAATAACTTCGCTTCCTTGCCTAATACTTTAACCTCAGCATGCAGTGATTATACCATATGCGAAACACTTGTGGTCAAGGAAATTTTCCTTCATGCACTTTTCTTTCAGCCACCACAATACAGTGGAAATAAGCAAACTTCTGTCCAATATGCTACTCCTTTGATATGTAGCCGGATGCTACGTCAGCAACGTAATTGCTGTGCTTACGTTGCTAAGTGCACCTTTTTTAATAAAGCGGAGATTGTGTCAGCAACTAACTCATTTGGGCTGATGCAACTTCCTAAGTAAGTGAAATGGTCATTGCATTCAACCACTTTGATCTTTATCACAAATCTGAGATTCGGCGCAGATCAGTCAGTTCTAAAACATCATCTTACATTTGACAGGTGCAAAACACTTGGTGAACATACTCAGATTTTATCCAAGGTGTTCAGAAAACTGTGCATTTTGTCCACGTTCCTCTCTACCAGAAATATGTCGTCTGCATACTTCAAGATTACCACGTATCATCCTGGGTGTAAATCAATGTCTCTATAGTTGGAGGTACATAAGGTTATGTCCATTAATATGTCTATGATAAAGTCAAATAGGAATGATGACAGTGGACATCACCGATAGTTATTTAAGACAACTCCCGTATTCTACTATGTAGTTGGGTGAGTTTGAGTAGAGTGCTTTTATTAGCATTTCATACTTGTTCACTGTTCTCTTCGCAGTCATATAAAGTCCGAACACTTTTCAATCCCAGATTAAAAATATGGTAAGCATGAGGCACCCGTAAGTCTACCTGTGTTTCAGAACCTGTCGAAGGGTTAAAATCTGATCAACACCTTCATTCAGGTTTGAATCTTGCCTGATTTCCTGGAGTTCATTGTTTGCAAGCTTTAGTTATTCATCGGTTGGCTATAAACCATAGGATTTTAGGTACAATGTTAGTGAAACTGATTCCTCTCTGGCTATCAAAGGAATACTTTTCTCCTTCTTTATAAACTGGGATCATCAACAATGCACACGAGTGGTGACTGTCATGCCCCAGAGTTAGGAGATCGACATCTACTTCCCATTCATGTCTAGACTAGATACTGGGCTATACTATGGGAAACTGGACAGTTGAAGCGAGATGTAGGATGAGGCTAACTAAAAATTTGTGTAACATATTGCCTTTATGAATTTAATGATTCCTAATTCCTCTTCATTTATACAAACTGAAGACTAAGGACATGTTGTTTTCACCAAGTCAAGAATTTCAACAAGTTCAACCTTACATTACTATTGTAGTTTACCCTCCTTATTTTCATCTGATCAATGGATGGCAACTTTCATAATTCAGAATTATGACTACTGAGTTATCTTTTAAATATTAGTTGCCTTGTATCATAAGAAAGATTACATTCAGTTGTAATATACAATGTGGTCAATTAATGTACCAGTCAACACCAAGAACCAGTTTATCGTCCCTAATATGTGCGAACACGCGATTCAGTTTAGCCACCATACAGCACTTGAATAAATCTTCTATAAGTCTGCCCTGAAATAAAATTATGTCAGTTGAAGGTGGTTCTCAGATTTCTAATATGGAAATTAAATTAGTCACGTAATTGATTATTTTACTTACATTTTTTTTTACTAGTCTATTGCATGTAATACTTTTATCATAGTTACACCTTCACGTAAGTAGAATTTCACTAGGATTTTGTGTTTAACCTTTTCAAAAGCTTTACAAGTTATTTCTTTCTTGTATAAAGTAAATAATCTACAAAATATTCAATATTTCATAATTCTATTGTATTTTTAGCATCTCAACTACCACCTGAACTTTTTGAAAGACTGGAAACTAACGAAAACCGTTCTGAACAAATCATTGATGTTTTATGCTGCTTGCAACGGAGCCTGTCATCATATCAAAACTCGACTAATGTTGTATCACAGAAAGTAAACAGTGGTATACAGAACATGTAGGTTTTATTTAGGTATATTCTAAGGCAGTTTATTGTTATTCAGTTGCAAAACTGTATAGCAGAAAAACGGGCTTTGGGATTATTGACTCAGCCGAATAAAGTATGATCATGTTAGAGGGTTAAACTATTCCTAGTCTTTTTATCGTTTCTATTCATTGAACAGTTAACGTATCTAAAATCTGTGTTCATGTTTGTGGCTAGCAGTGGAACCAAGGACACGTGTTCCATCCTATTTGTGACTTGTTAGCTGTATATACCTGTACCCTAGTGAGTGATGTTGTTCCCACTAAGATGCCAACCCACTACCTGTTGCTTCAGGCGCTGAAGCGTTACTTACTAGACCCCTAGAGCATAAGAGCGACCTAGTAAGCAACACGTGTCTGTTGTTGTTTGATATGAAACACGTGTCCTGGATCACACTGCTAGTCACCAAGATGAACAAAATATCATGAATATCCGGTAGAATGGAGGCGTCCGCATAGGGGCCCGTCTGCCAACAGAGGTCGACCAATTCGACCTTGTATAGCAACTGGACATTACTAGTACCAAACAAAAATATCTAAAATCTGGTTTATTAAAAAAAAAGTTAGCAACAAAAATGAAGACGAAGAAAGATACAGTTCACTAATTGAATGTAACACGGAAAGTAAATAGAATTAATGCAAAAATGAGTATATAACAGACTGAAAAATATTAAAACCTAGACTGGGGTTAGAAAATTTTCATCTCACTTCACTCTTGTGTACTTGTAAACATTAAAGTAGTCTGTCGACAGACTCACAAATGTGTAATAGTTCGAGTTTCTACACTTCTTAAGAGTGGTCACTATAGTAATAGTAACTGCAAAAATAATTATTATCCAAGTTTCGTTGATTTTACTTTACTACTACGTCTCGTATTTTCTTACTGATTAGTGTGTCAGTGGCAGTAACCATTATCTATTCATATGTGTAAGACAGATATGATAAAGGCGGAACATTAAAGGTATTGTACTTCGGTGAGAATTCAGTTCACTCACTAGCTAGAAATGCATTTTCTTTGTGTTCCCGATAGATAAATGATGTCTTGACATAGTGGTCAGTCTTGCATGTTGCAGCCACCCAACGAACTATCCTGAGTGAAACGATTGTTCCTTGAGGTTCAACCATATCAAAAATGTCTGTTAGATAGTAGTAAGATTGAAAGTGGTCACCATCGAAATGTAAATAAATCACATTATAGTGGTTATCCTGACTGAAGTTATACTTCTGGCTGCATGCAGTGTGGTATCAGTAGCATTTATGAGTATAAGCAGTTTTCCAATTCGATTCTACTTTCACCACATATTTTCATCTTAATCGTTTCATCAAATTTTGCGGATCGCTTTATCTCATATTCTCTTCATCCCTTTGACTTTCAGTCTTTTAATTATACTGTTTGGATTTCTTTGCCTCTCGCCTTGTCGCTTTGTTTCTTGATGTGCTGATGTAAAGTGTTGCAACTTGAACCATTACACACTAATAGCATCTTGTATCATTATATTCACTCGCTGATTAGTGACAGTGGTTGAAGTACGGAAATATCGCTACTCGATCGGAATCGGAAACCTTCAAAAGGATGATATGTGGTCAGTCTCTGGTAGATATCTCTAGGACTCTCCAGTTATATATGGACGTTTGGACAACAACCTTCAGATTCCACTCTTGATGGTCGCTCAGTTCCTCCGTAAATAGAAAAAGCGGTAATGTAATAGAAGTGTTTGCAACGTCAGAAATATATAAAGATGCAACAGGTCGTATATATTCACAGCAGCTTTTCTGGATTCGAATATTCTATTGTTTTTGTCTCAACCAGTCTGATATTTGCACGTTGATTCACACGGTTTCTCTCGAAACTTAAGTGCGAAACGACCGGTTGTGTAAAAGTCTTCAGGGATATACAGCTTTTATGAAGATCATGGCAATCTTATTCTACACTATAACACTAATATGATCTCTGGCATGTTGGATCACGCAAGTATATGTGTAACGTCTTGTCGTAGGACAAACAATTCACTGCTGGACTGAACATCGATTGACTTCCAGGTTGGAGTTCAGACTACAACCAAAACTGATCATCGGGGACTAGATGATATGACTCAGAATCGATTGCGGCAGCACAAATACAATCAGATTTTATCTCCTTTTTAACCGTTATGTTCCGTTTCGTTATTGATTTTCGCCTCTTCTTTTCGTTTTGAGTTTTTACGAATTCTGATTATGTTATATACATTTTATGCTTTTCGTTTTGTTGCCACCTATGGCGCCGCCGTGATATTCGTTTGTCTATTAAGGGTCGCGTGTACTGCACCTGCACACCAGTCCCCTCTGTTCTACTCTATGGCTGTGAAACATGGCCATTGGAAGTGGAGGATACAAAAAGGCTTCAGGTGTTTGACCACCGTTGCCTTCGTAGTATAGGACGTATTCCGTGGTGTCACCACGTGAGTAATGCAGAAGTTAGGTGTAGAGTTTTGGGGATAAGAGGTAAGTCAGTCGACGAGGTTGTGAACCTTCATCGACTGAGATGGTTGGGACACGTACTACGTATGCCTAGTCACCTATTGCCTCGTCACACAATGTTGGCTGAGGTGGGTCCAGGCTGGAAAAAGGCCTGAGGTGGCCAGACTAAAACACGGCACCAATGTATGAAGTCTCTGACTGTTGGTTTAAGCCATGTGGGGTGATGCAGACTAGGTGGTTGGGGTCCGTGGGACAAGAGGAACCAGTGGTTGGAGACCCTAGGTGATATGGCTCAGAACCGAAGTCAGTGGCGCAGATGTATACACACATTATCCTCATCTTAACAACGCTATACCGAATCTCACCATTTTGTCACTCCTCTTTCTTTTCTTCTCGTACTTTATATTTCTTTTGACTGCATTTACTTATCTTCATCCTTCACCTCACTACCTTTTTACTTGATGTGCTGATATGAGGTGTGGCAACTCGGACCGTTACGCAGTAATGCCTGGTCCTATGTTGATAATGATGAATGATGTTTTGTTGCCATGACTGTTTACACAATAGAAAGTGTGGCAATATGGAGTCTCACTGACTATATCTTAAAGCTTAGGCGCTTGTAGTCGATTTTCAACTGTACTTGTCTAATGACAGTGAAAAATTTGGAAGCAGCCCTTAATATTTTTAGTATATTGCAACAACAAAGTGATTTGTAGTCAGGCAGAAAATATCTATTCATCACATTTCTAAAGTGCCATCTTCTTGGCACACACTTCCACGCTGTGACGTTTTAAATTATAGTCTTTTAATATAAGCGTAGCACTTAGACACTGTGGTAGAATGTAATTCCATATTAGATTTCTTTGATTTATAATACACAGTGATTACAGTATTGTTTACTTGATGAAGTTTCGAGCATAAATCGTTGCTCATAATCATATTGATGCAGTTATACTACTTTCAACGATCGATTTTTATTGGTAGTACTACCAATAAAAAACAAAGAACATGAAGTGACTGGACTATAAAAATCGATTATTGAAAGTGGTGTGATTGCATTCATATGATTATGAGCAATAATTTATGCTCGAAATGTCATAAAGTAAGTAATACTGTATCACTCACTGTGTGTTATAAATCAAATGAACAAATCTAATATTGAATTAAATTATGGTCTGTTAGTGAATTGATTGGTGTTACTTCCCTGTATGTGAACAGCTATAGAAGGAATCATGCTCTCCACGTTTGCCTGGTTCACCTATCTTACCGAACTTGATGTTCATTCACTCTTTTCCGTGATTAAAGAAAAAACACATGGTTTATTTGGGTAAATAATACTAAGATATGTTATCCTGCAAAGTAGTTCTTTTTCACTGTCGGTATCAATGTTATACAATAATGAATTCAACTCACAGTTACTAAATCTAGGGTCTCCTTTGTGAAATCATTATCCTTGCACATTGTGAAAAAATGTTTTGAGTAAGCTGATTTGTCAGTCAATTTTCTCGCTGTAATTCAAAGCAGCTTTAGACGAAATATGCATATGTGTGTATATATATGCGATTGAAACTGACATCGCGTTCCATTTTATTTGTGATTTTTGTCATGAGTCACATTACTGTTGAAAAAAGTCATTACATATTGACACTAGTCGTCATTGATATGCTTCTGTATCTTTTCCATCTACCTTTTTACAGTTTTCTCTTGCATCTGTAGTAAATATGTTCGAATTGGTCAATAAAATTGCATTGTATGAACACACAAAAAAACCGAAAAGCTACTGCATGTTGGGTGTTTCTTGCAATTATTCAGTGGAACTTGAACCACTGCTGAAATAACCTTACATGTCTATATTTATCGTATTTGAGATGCAACTTAACGACTGATCTAATAAGTGACCCTTTTTGTTTATGGGTCAAAATCATCAAGCGAGTGACGTGTATCTGAAGTTAGGATTGGCTTGCTGAAAACCTAAATCATTTGACTAAACTTCCTTGCATAAATGTTCCTTTCAATATAAATATCACAAAGTTCTCATTGTAAACGATACCATGTTGTGTAAACTAAATTGTTCAAGTTTTCTTCTCAACGAATATAAAAGTAAGATTCTTCAATATTTTTGAAAAAATATAACAGCTTAACGTGCCAGTTTTACTGAACTGGTGACAGTTAGGACAGTATCAAGGATTGCTTCCAAATCAAGAATTATCAATCAAAACAAGATACGTCAGTTGCTTCAAAACTACTAGCGACGTCTGGATTTATTATTACTATCATTATTAAAACACAAACATGGTACAGCGAAGGCACTAGGAACTGCTCCACACAGAATGATATAACAACATTATAGAGACATAAAGCGATAGGAAGTGGATAAAGAAAAAAACAATAGGAATAGAATGATTAGAAACGCAGTCCAGTAAGATACATTCAAGACAGAGCATTGATAACTTTTCAGCAGCAGAAGAGAGAAGGTAGCTGTAGCATGACCGCCATTGGTTCCCATTCTAAGCCATATCTGATAATGTCTCAAGCCACTGAGTTGCATGATCTCTTGGACCCCACCCAGGGATTTGTGATGCACCAACAGATGCCAGTCCGATACAACAGTTCTTCGTCCCACGGCTCCACGTCATACACTGACCACCGTTCCGCTTCTACCATCCAGCCCCAAGGCTAGGAAACAATGAACGGTGTGGAAGCCTTTGGAACGACATGCGTAACATATGTCCAAGCCACGAAAGCCGGTTTTTCCAGATGACTTCACTTATTGCGTGACGATCTTCTTTTTGCCCAAACACACGTTATCGTACCTCAGAATTACTTACTTAGTGTTACCACCGGATACGAGCAATCCTACGGAGACAACGATGATCGAACATTAGGAGTCGTCGCATATCCTCAGCTTGGAGAAACCAGGTTTCACTGCCGTAGAGCAAAACTGCTCTCATTGAAGCGTTGTAAACCTGACATTTTCCGGTCAGACTAACATCGTGACGACGCCAAAGTTGGCCCAGATTGGTATATATCAATCTGGCTTTGAGTATGCGGTTGGAAATTTAACCACTCACACCTCCACCAACACCCACACAACTACCCAGATGCACGGACTTCCTAGCTACTACCAGTGGCTGACCACTGAGGGTGAACTCGGGCACAGGCTCCTTCCAATTTTGCAAAATTACTTTGCACTTCACTGGTGCAAAGCACGTACCATTCTTACGGATTACGAAAGGCAGAAGGTTGTATTAGAACTTGCCAGCCTGTGTACTACTTTGTAACACTCCCCGATACTTTGAAGTAACGTAGACGTGGCAAGCATTAGTGACACTCGTATTTTTCAAGAAACTTCGACTGTTAAGAGTGGTGAGAAAATTACTAGTTGTGGGCAAATAATAGTTTTTTTCACTGTATGACCTCTTACTCAATAGGGATTCTACACGAACGCAGAGGAAATCATGCTGTTTTCTTCCCTACGATAAAATCTACCTGGATAATATGATAAGTGATGAAGACATCTTACCGTTTCAGTTTGGTATCGGATTGCACTATGAAATAGAAAACTAGTATCATTGAATGGAAAGTCATTGTATGACTTTATGACTTTATTGAGAAGTTGCTCTCATTACTCACTAACACCCTGATCAGGGTTGAATGTTACGTGAATTTCATCTGATTATTCATGTTATTTTCTTGTGATACGTTAGCCAATTGTTATGGCAGCTAATTGACCAATTCCATCAAGTTTGAGGTCGGCATCTGTGAGTGTAATACCTTGGAAAGATGTATATCAGCAAACATTGCTTAGAAAATAGAGATTATCACGACAAAGGCTAAAAGTAATGTATTATTCTATAAAGCTTTGTCATTATGATCGCATTGTTCCACAGTGTAAATGCAACTCAACTCCTTATGTTTGTTCATTGCTGGACTGTGAGCCATATTGTGTGTATAAGGATTTAAGATACTACTCAGTTTCCTAGACGGAAGTAATTTAAATAGGATTCGAACTTGAAACCCACTGTTTGAAAGTCAAACGCTTGAACCAATGAGCTACATCTCCACGTCCGTCTGGTTGCCAGCGATAGACAAACTATGTAACTTTTATTCAGAACACATAAGGGCTTTCAATAATATAAGTCTTTGGTCTGAAATTTCGGTAACAGATCCAAAGTTCCCGAATAATCTGAATTCGCAGATACTACATGCTGAGTATTGATCAGTCTAACAAAAGCTGCTTATTGTCAGTTGTCTCAGTTATGAGGAAGGAAACATTATAGTGTCAAACCCCACCTTTCTTTTGTAATGACAAAGCATCTAAATTTTCTGCTTTAAGGAAGGGAGGAAGTATGTCTTATTAGTGAATAAGTGAAAGTCGCTCTGATTAGAAATCAGTCAGACATGTTTGGCGACCTGCATCGGTAAACTTTCACTTCAAAATGTGTTTAGGTCATGTTTTACTTATTCTTAGCTCACCTTTTACTTTGACTTGGTGTGCCAGCAGGACTTAGAAAGGAGTGAAAAAAGCTTCACAGTATTCAAGTAAAACGCAAAATGAGTTCATGTAGTGTCTGTTCTGATTTCAGTCTTGCGGTCTTCAAGACAGATGAAATGAATCATTTCATACTTCTGGTGATGCTACTGACAATCAGAGTGTTACACATCCATCCGCACCTACCGTTACATTTTGGGCATTTTGTTATGGTATGCTTTTTATTCATTATCTTAGTCATTTATCTTATTCTTCCATGTCATGTCTCTACTTTAGTAGCGTTATTTGCGTTTATTTTCCTGTACTTGTTGATTCCTAAGTATGTGGTTAATTTGAAGTGTGATTTTTTGAACTAAAACAAATATACTAAATCATAGATTGTTCCTTTCTATCTGTTTATTAGACAGTAGTATAGCACACTAAGTAAAAATGAATGGCTTTCAATCTTCCTCGTGAACAACCTAACTAGTCCATTGCAATCAGAAGGGAAAGGTCGGAGTTAGATCAATTTTCACTACTTATCTAGTTCTTGTGGATCAAGTTGCCTACAAGGCAAAAGGTGAACCTTTAATGTGTTTTCATTTTATCTGTGTCATATAGCAAACGGTGAGGTAATGGCTCATTGGTCTCGGGTTCAAACACTACCCCATCCACCGAGGTTTGAGCGTCTAGGTAGTATCATTATCCCTCACACAATAGGTACAGCTCATTGCCCACTGCACGAATCTGAACAAGGATGCTGAGTGGATTTTGATTTTCGATACAGTAAACGTCCAACTGACTATTGATTTATTCTTTTACTCTATGGTCATGCTGGGATGGTTATGAATTGGAATTGCTTTGTTAGGAACTGAGAAGTATACATTACAGAACTAGGAGTTATGGCGTCGGTTGACAGTTCTACAAGCTTCAACTAATGAGCTTTGATAAAATATGTGTTTACAATTATCATCGTTGATAATCAGTGCGTCTGATAAACATTCAAATGTTCACTCTGGGGGTGAACGCCTTATTAGTAGTGAACTGGATACAATTGCCGTTTTTCTTTTCGTGTTATCCGCAACACGCGGTGCATTTGCTTTTATGCAGCTAGATTCGGGTTCAAATCGCGTTGCACTTATTTTAACCTGGGCAACTGTTTGGTATCATGAATTTTTGAACAATAAATGCGGCTCATGGTCTAGTATATCGTCATGTACTGGCTTCAGCTGGATTTTACCCAGCCGATGAGGAGAGTAAAAAAACATTGAGTTTATTACTTTGTTATGCTGTTCTTACCATAACCGGGTTTTGTAAGATTATTCAAAGCTAGACGCAAAACGGACATTCTACATTGGTCTTATCTTTAACCGTATATGGATACTGAAGGAGTGGAATTCACATACACATAGTCTGAATTTTTCATTTTACAAATTACAATCGTAAACTTAAGTCACAGTGCGCTATAAATCTTAAATAATAATAGTCCCAATCAAGCGATGGGTGCAAAGTTGAATGTCTTTTGCAAATGTTTACAACTGGGGGAGTTCCTAACTCTTGTTCATTCTCTAATCAGATTTATTTTGATAACATAGTGATAGCTTTTTATTTATTTTCAATATTGTTGACTTATTACTCCACAGATTTTTCTTAAAGAAACGGCTATGATCACTTTTAAACTTTGCCCTATTTCATTTTCGAAATACTTTGGTGTATGATAAACCGTCGAGTCTTTTTCATAGTTAAGAATTAAGAAAAATTTCAGTTTTCTAGTAAGGATGGATATTGGCTAGTGGTCAGTCGTACGTCCCACTCAATGACTACAAAATACAAGCAATAACATAACTTTAATTATCGTACAAGAAATGCCTGTCGTGCTCCGGTCCCTTAGTGGATAACACTGGCATCGAGGATAAAAACTCACACACGGGTGCGTCAGCTCAAGTTGCCACACTTCACAGTAGTATACAAATAACAGGTGGATAGAAAAAGAGTGATATCAAAGTAGATATAACAGTGTGGAAGAATGAATAATCTGAAGATAACGGTTAGTGCAAATAGTCAGACCTCCAAAGGCGTCAAGAAGTGAATCTGTCTGCTCCATTGTGACACATTTCAACCATATCACCAAGACATAGCAATACTGATTCCTGTCACCTCGGAGACCCCAGCTATGCACTCTGCGTCGCCTCACATGACAGACCAACAGTCAAGGACTTCATCAACTAGTGCCAGGCATTGGTCTGACTGACCACCCTGAACCCTCTTCCAACCGAATCTGACTTCTCCTAGCATGGCACATCGAGGTAGGCGGTGACTCAGCATGCGCAGTACTTGTCTAAGACGTTTCAGTCGACTAAGGTTCACCATCTGATCATTCGACTTGCTTGTCTTGCTTAGTACCCTCCATCTGACCTCAACATTTCTCATACGGTGATCCCACCAAACTCGAGCAATGCTGTGAAGACACCTATAAGGGAACAACAGCACTCACCGGGAGGCAAGTATATCCGCTTTAGGAGTCCTAAGTCTAAAGAAACATGCGTCTGGAATTCCACTACTTGCTTGATACCATCCTTACTATCAAAATGAAATTTCTGGCGATATCGAGACATCCATACAGGAGCTCATATGGCAATTGTGGCCATTTAGTTCGGTCCAATCACTGATGGGAAATTAAAAGTATTAACATCAATTAAGGAAAATATATCTTACTTATACTACTGGTTAAAACCCTCACTTTTGTTTTCTATTTGTATATTTTCTGGGTGAAAAATCATTTGTAAACTCTACTGAAATTCAAACTTTATCTAATGGATATTTCCGGCAATTATAGTTTGAACTATTATATATTATTGCCTGTCTACAGACAGGCCTCCATATGATTGTTAAATGTTCTTATCCCAGTTTCATTTACGCTAAAACAGGTTTGATCCAGCAGCTTGTTCTTCAGTAATCGGCTATTCATGTCTGTTGGTTTGATTTTCTAACTTCATTTTGTTCTCAACCGGGACGGAATGATCGACTTCTATAAGCATATAGAATGTGTATATGAATCTTTCCATATGATCGTCAGTTTCATTGTACTGTGTATCTTCTGCTTGATTATGATTTCATTCAGTGACTGGTGGCTGGCAGTAAAGTCCACTACTTGCCTTTTTTTTCTTCAGCATCATAGTGAAAGTGAAAGTCATACTCAGGTATCCACACAAGGATACCATATGCTGACAGTTACAGATCGTTTTCATCTAGTACAAGGGGAAGTAGAGAATTACGAAGTAACGACCAACGCTGTCTCACGACTCAGTGATGTAGTGTTTAACAACCTCTTGGAGTCATGGATTTCGGGAATGAGTCTAATTAGGAATGCCCACACTACTTGCTAAAATGTAGGTTTTTATGACTTAAAAACCCAGAATAAGACACGTTTTCAGTCATTACTAAAAAGCATAAGACCAAAACCTAAGAACTTAGAATTTTGTAAAACTAAGACATTTTAGTCACCAGAGTTGGAGATGATTTATGTTTTTCCCCTTCATACATATTTGGAATGATTTGTCTTGACAAGATCACCAGTGACTTACTTACACTGTGTATATTTTGTGCAAATGGAGATCAAATGCATTTGTCGTACATAGGATCAACTGATCTGTAATTACAACTGATTTTTACTTTATGTATTTTGGAAGTTTCAAAACGTTTTGAACCAGCGTCGAACTCAGCAGAGTAAGTATATTATTCACTGTGCTTCCAACACATAGCTCTTGGGCTCAAACTCTCTCTTGCTTGCTTCAATGTGAGTAGCTGTGTAGTACTATGGTTCATACCATCAGCTAATTTCATGATACAGTATTCTCAAGTTATTTAACAGTATGTCCTAAATATTCTTCACATAATATGTTTGATCTCCGATATTGCAGAGTTGTTCTTCCGGTATCTGTTACCTTTTCTTAGTGTCTTGTGACCTTCATTAGCTTTTGATTATATCATTTGCATCTCTTTGTTTTTCGTCTCATTACCTTATATTTTGTAGCAATGTCAGATGTAGCGTTAGTGTATGTATTCATCCCAAATCGTAATTTATTCAAGTCGCAATTAAGAATGCGAATAATTTTGATGGGATTTTTTTCACTTCATGTAATGAAACTGCTCATATTGGTCTCAGTATCCTGAGAGGTTACTGAACTGAAAGCATACTTTTTCCTCTACTGTCAAAGTGTGATAATTCATTTCGTTTATTCTATGACGTATATTAAGTTATGCTCTTTAATTATGAGCACTGAATCTATTCTTTTTTTTTTCAATTAAATTTTAATTTTTAGCCACAGACAATTAGTTCATTTTAAGGAAACATTTGATTTTCCGAATGCGTATTTAACAAAACCGCCTGCTAAGCATGCTGAACGACTCAATCCAGAATGTATTCATGATAATTGGAGTGGTATTTGTGTGCCAGAGCTTAAAGCTGAATTTGTGAATACTTGTCAAGAACTTAATGACTTGGAAGATCAAATTCATCTTTTGGAAATTGAAGTTGGCAATATTTTCCCGCATTGAAGCGTTTCTTCTATGCAACATTTTACGTTATTACCAATTGAAATCAACTCTGCTTGTGGCATGTAAAAAGAGTATTATGAATTTGTGTGATTTTAAAAGTTAACGTATAATTTATTTCCCTGCTTACGGGGAACTCAATACGGAGAAATGATGGTTTTTATATCGAAGCAAACCAAAAGCTTGCATGGACGATTACCTTTAGTTTCTCTTAGAGCTCGAAACTATTCATCAGATCGATTGATGATACATACCTCACAGTTAATATGAGTTAAAAGGAATAAATTTTTAATAGTCATTGGTTTCTTTTAACATTTATCGAAATTTACTAGACTCTAATGTCGGTAGAATTTATCATTGTTCTGTCACCAAATACTAACCACATTCCATCGATCAGTATTAAAATGTGGCCGCTAAGCTAAGCGGTGCGATGTAGTGTTAGGTTTTGAAAGCTAACTGACAAGAATTCACAAATTTCGTTTTCCCACTTGTTAATACTTAGGAAACAGTGTCAGTGTCAGGCATTTATCCTGAATCATTCATATCTCAAATCAGAAACTTTACCACAAATCTACTCAGAGTAGATCTAACTAACAGTTTTTTATGTACCGCAACTCAGCACTTGTTGACTGTTTCTAATTCAATAATTGGTGTGTAACAACAATTGTACGGAATTAGATTTGTGTAGATAATTCGAAAAGTGAGTTTGCTTATGATAATCAGGCTACCATCGAAATGTAATAATACTTTTTGAGAGGTTAAACATACATGTCATTATGTTCACTACACTGACTAAAAATATCAACCTAGAACTTCGCCCATATGTGCATCGGCTTAATTTGCTACACTTTACAGTAGTATACAAGCAACAGGTGAGTTGGAGAAGAGTGATATCACAATAGATAAAGCAGTGTGAGAGTGAGTAATCCGAAGATAACGGTTAGTGCAAATATTCAAGCTTTACAGGGTGTCAATGAATGAATACATCTGTGCCATTGTGACCGATTTTCATCCATGTCAGCAAAACGCATAGCAACCATATTGAACTTTCCACTCAACGCGTTCAGGAGACCCTGCATTTTGTCAGCGTCTTCATCCAGCAGGACAATATCGTCTTATACTCTAAGTCAGCCAGATAACTTCCAGGGAGTATATCGATCCCTATAAACTCGGAAGTACCTAAGCTTATGTTTATGAGTACGTCCATAACAAAGGTGAATGAGGACGGTGACAGTGATCATCCCTGGCGGATACCACTAGTTATCATTAGTTCTGATGACAAATCCCCACAAGCCATTGCACGGCCGCGTGAATTTGAGTGATCTGCTTTAATAAGCACTACATGTTGCCTCAGTACTCCCTGCACAGTCAAACACTACCATAACATCATAATCGACGGAGTAAAATGCTGCTTTCAAAGTCGAGAAATACAGCAAGTGTTGGCCACTGGACAGTAAGTATGCATATGTTCCAGAATCTATCGGAGGGTAAAATATAATCGACGCACCCTCAACCAGGTTTCAAACCTACCTGTTTTGTTCGGGTTTGCTGTTCTCGAGCTCCAGTTAGGCATCGCATAGGATCTCGAACACAGTATTAGTCTAGTTAATTCCTCTATGACTGTCACAGGAAGATTTCTCCACCTTCTTATAGACTGGAATAATCAGTGAGGTACACCAGCCTGACTGACTGACAGGACTACTTCCGATTGTCATACACTCACTACCTAGTACCCCTGTTAATATAATTAGCGATTTCTTGGCCCCATCCTTGAGAACTTCAGGTGGCAAGCTGTCAAGTCCTGCTGTTTTGCATCGTTTCAGGTTCGATACATCTTTCTCAACTTTGAGGAGAGTTGGAGTACCGACATCTACTTCCCATTGAGATTCAGGCTGGATGTTGGGCAAGTTTAGGGTTGGTGATAGCCAGTCGAGTGGTGCTTCAAAGTGTTCTACCTAACGTTCTAGCCGTCCGTCTCCGGAGGTTATCAGCAACCCATCCTTTTCGGTGATGGTTTCACTCACAATCGTCTTCTTCTCACCAGTATCCTTGATAAGTGTGAATGGTTGGCAAATATTACCCAACGCTGATGTCTCTCTATCTCTCTCTTTCGCTTTCATCACTCACCACTGCTCACGAGCGACGCGAAGACTCTTCGTCAACTTGAGTTTAAACTGATTTCGCTCTTCATCACGGTCAGAGTCAGCTGGAATCTGTCTTCTAATATCAACCAGTTCGAATGACGTCGTGGAAATCCGATGACGTTTGCTAACCCTCATTTGTAGGTTACTAGTTGTCTTGACGTCTGTTTCTACAGCAGACCCAATGTCATGCCAGATTCCCTCAGCATGAGCATTGTTGTCACGTTCAAATAAATACCTACCTAATTCCTCTCTAAATACGTGGTGGGTATCTTCTTCATTCAATCGAACACAGACAGGCTTCACTGTAGCCTGTTTCCTGCGATCGGTAAGGCACAGACATACTTGAACCCGTCCTAGTGGGTGATTGGAGTCCAAAGTGGTACTCCAGAGACAACACCAATCTTCATCCGGTCCTCTCCAATGATGGCTGATAGCAAGATGATCCTATCTGTGTCCGTCGTTGGTTTGAAGTTGGCGAGCACCATGTGGAACAGTCTCTCCGTATGCCTAAAGTTGGTGCTGACCAGAAACAAGTGATTGTCAGAACGAAATTGAAACATGAGATAACAGTTTTCGGTACGTTGGCGTCAGACCAAGGAAGATGCCTTTCCAACTGGCTCAGCTTCCCTACTCGAGCATTAAAGTCACCACCTGTCATTAAGACTAGATCTGAACAGTTTGCGTTCATTAGCAAAGTTGACAGAATTCAATGCTTGCATCATCCGAACTAGTCGGTGGGTGCGTTGGTGGAGATTGAGAATAGACATCGGTTAGTCTCACGATCCTTCATGGTCATTACAGATCCATGCAGTCGAACAGCACATAGATGTCTGTTTACTGGTATCCAATCGGGAAGTGGACTTTCAGATCTACAACTCAATGCTATGCCTACACCAGTGAGCACACGAGAGTTAACCGTTGTATCTCCGGATACTCTCAAGGTGAATTTTGAAAATTGATTACTATGGTCAGGTGAGGTCAGCCTAATAGCCACACTCGGACCTTGTATACTTGTCTGAGAGACTCAGCACATAACCGTGGCTGGAGATTGCAGAGTCCTGGTGGGTGATGCATGGTGTTCGATTTGGCATAGAGTTGGGAGGTTGAAAGCTTCCACATGAAATTGATGGCTCCATCTTGGGGACTAGGAATGAGATTTGGATGGCTTTGATTGTTGACAGGGGTTGCAGAGTGAGAGGTTGAGTGTGGCGTTGGAGACCTAATATTAGTTTCAGGAGGTGAAGACAAAGGAGGAGACGGAGTTGAGTGAAAAATGGGATGTTTGATTGGGTCTTGTGTATTACTGGAAGCGTGCTGGAGGTAGACACTTGACGGTTATCCACACCGTGAAAGGTTATTTCTTCTAAAAATGTCTGAAAGGGAAGAAGATTTGCAGATCTCATGGGTCATCTGCTTAAAGCCCCCCACACATGGCCATTTGTGGGATGGCGTTTTGAGGTTTAGTTTTTGTAATGCCAGATAGTACGAATAATGCTTCTGGCAACGGAATGCTATATGGTCGGGCACTTTTTTTTCCTGGGACTGACCTTTTGCAATCCCCTACTCTTCACATGAGGAGAGCAACATTGCGCCGTACGTAATTTTTTCAGCTAGCAGCAGCTCGACCTCATCCTGAGACCTTCATCATAGTGTAGTGATTTACAAGCAACTGTGACTGTTTTTCCTCTTACTGCCAACCAGAAGACCTTTCTGCCGTGGTAGGACCTCGAGAGAACAAGTGTTCCACCATCAAGCTTGTTGGGTTATTTTGATGTGCAAATCTTACCACTACTTTAAGGTAGCAGCTATGCTTCGGGTGTCCCCTACACTTTGTCTAACTGGAAATAATATGATCAAGTATTTGAATCGGTTTTGAACCGCATCATCAACCCTGCTGCCTTTGGAAACTTAGTTCCCGTCACAGATTTGAATGAAAAAAGAGTAAATTTATTTGCAAAATAAAATGAGTTCTTTTTGTTGCTTGTTGTTGCAGCTGAAAGCAGCCTGGATTTGAAATTAAATATTGGTAGTTGGTCACATATGGGCTTTCAACATTGCATGAATTAATTGAAGATGTATGTTTTCTAATTCATGAAAGTCGCATCTCAATAGACGGTGTAATTCTGCTTCATTAAGTGTACTAACAACTTAAAAAATTCTGAATTGGGTATGAAAGTACCAAGCAAGTATGGACGTAAATTAACGCCTTCTTCGTAAAGTATGGTCGCTTAAAATGTGAATATAAGGACTTAAGTAACAAAAAAGAAGGAAAGGAAAGTAGTTCTACAATAAGTCGGTAACGAAAAAGCAGAAGTAACGATACACAACAGCATGTATTGCATCCTAGTGGGTGATAGTGTTATCCCTGAGACTCAAACTGAGCAGCCGTTACTTCAAACCTCGAAGGGTATTGTAGTGTTCAGAATAGTATTACACGTGGATCCTTTGGTGTTGATTTCAGCTGTCCTCTATTATTCATCCGAATGACGCATCCTACTCAGACAAAACTTACTTCGTTGGATTGCGTCATATTCTTATGCTAATTCCTTTTAGCTTATTTTTAATCATAAAGCTGGTCTTTAGCTTATATTCTGTCATGGTAGACGGTTGGTTAACATGCATAACACACACCACTACCATCTCATATTAAGAGTTACTTTAAAGAACACCATATCAACTTTTGGAGTAAGTAATTAGAGTTCTGTATTTTATGTAAAAACGAACTTCCCAGTCTGATAAAGAAACCTGATTGGTTATCTCATTCGTTGTTAGGGTGGCGTTTAGAATCACACCATTTTAACTCTTGTCAGTTGATTTACTTCCTTCACGGAGGATGTGGTTAATTGGCTAAGGAATTCGAATTTCAAACCCACTATCACCTAATTTGGTCTGTTCAACCGGTTAGTATAATAATAAACTCAATAAGTATAAGAATCATATATTGGGATGAAACAGCTCTCCAGTGCTCTCTAGTTTTCAATGGTTTCCCATCTGATCTCAGTCCATGATGAATACTACTGTGAAACAAAGATATAGGCTGGCTAATACTTATGAAATTGGTTGTATTAAGAACACAGAGGTTAAATATCTATGCAATGAAAGAATTATCGAGCTAGAAAAAAATAGAATGTCCAGTCTGTTTCTGCGTAAATAC